AACGCGCGATATACATCCCCGATTTCTACGTTTCTACCGAAGATGGCGCTGCCTGTTCACAGCGCCACCATGCGCTGCTTTGGCTCGTTATTGCGTGAGAGTAAAGGTAGTTTAACTGTGAAACACATTATGCATACTGGCGCGTAAAACGATTCCAGAGTGTCAATCAAGTTCAGATTGAATAGTCATCAGACTTGCACAGCCAAGAAAACCTAGTTTATCTCATGTGTATACGCATGAGGCGGACATCTCGTAAATTTTTATATCAAACTGTCGGTCGTTACTACATCGGAGGAATCAATATTTGATTTTTTTAGACATGCTGTAGTTCTTAAAGAAATAACACCTCGCATTTGTGCAATATGTATATTTTGAACGCACTGAAGTTTACCACGTGGTGACCCCGCAAGAAACAAAGTGTAGCACTGCTGCCTGCATGGGAGCAATTGTGCACGTTCGGCGACGCAGTACAGGCCCCGTCAAGTTTGATCGAGTGTGCCGCGAAAGTGGCCGCTCTTTTTCAAAGGCATAGGGAACCGCCCCTCTGTTGAAGCGCAAAGAAGAGCGCCAACGTAAATGACTGGAAGCGAGGTTATTGCGGCTGACATTGTCCATTACGTATATGTCACGCATTGCTCGTGCCTCACTGTTCGAACACTCAACTCTTTTAATCTTTCGTCGTGAGACGTGTTACGAGTTTTGAAAGTGACAGTGATGGATTAATTGCAGCAACGTGCTGGCAAGAAGAAGCACCTGTAAAGCTATTTGTGACGCTGTGGAGGATTCCTTCCGGTATGTGGGTGTACAATCGGAGGCACGCGCAAGGGCAATCCATTGTGAACGCTAGCGAGGTAATCGTTAAGGGAGAAAGAGGAAGAAACAAAGCCACGAGTTTAACCAGGCGGACGTCCGCTTTGGTTACGCTGAGCGAAGAGTAGTTGAGGGCAATGACAGAGTGAGATTGAGTTTGCAGGCACAGCACATACGCGATGTGTGTCTTTACATTATAACTATACAAAAAATTCCGAGGTTTTTCGTATGATGTGCTCATACTGTAGCAAACTAGGCGAATAATTCTCGAGACTTGCATAAGGCTTGACGCGAAGAGGCACGTGCAAGCTGCAATTTTAATTTATTTGCAAGCTTTCACGCTTTTTATATACGTGTATACTTAGTACAAGAGAACTAATCACTCATTATTTTTTTTTCAATAGCAAGAAAGCTTGGTTTAAATACTGTGGTCCACTGGCTACGGTATACGCTATATTCTTTTCACATTTCATCCTTCCCTATACACCTGACGATTACGCGTACTGATCCCGAACAGTTCACTTTTTATATTAATCTTGTGATATTGAAGCCATCCACCTGCTCAGACCTAATGATCATCAATATGCAAATAATAAATAAATAAATATTTAAATGCAATACAATATGACAGTTCTTGCGCCCGCACAGATGTCGTGAGCCAATGATATAAAAACTCCCGTGCGCTCATCACTGTAAAGCGTATGAGACGAGTGCCTGACTTGCCTCCCTGTTTCTTCACCGCCTCTCTTTCTCTGCCTCATACTCCTGTACACCATGTGTTTGTAATATCCTCACGTCAATTCGGCGCATTGAAGCAACGACGATATTCACAATTCTGCGCTGCCTATGTATATGCAGTACTGCTGGTACCAAGGAGGTTCGCTTGTTCGGTATGATTGAACTAACGCGAAGAAAAGCCCGAAGATCCCCACGGAGCGAAGCTCGCCCAAAACCGCAAATATAGAGACGCCTGTCGTCCACTACCCCAGATTTTAGGGGAACGCCGACTGCGACGCAGTCGGGGAATTCTGCGAGTTGATACGTTCCGAAGCCAGCGTATACCGAAGGGGTGTCAGTGGTGAACTCTATACTTTATCATGCCCCGGGGCAAATCTCTTGAAGTGCAGGGCATTCATTATTGACCGCACTCTGTATTGTCAGCGCGGCGCTGTCGTTCGTTGTGTAGGAAGAGGAGCGCCAATCACGACCGCGGGACGAGTGCAAAGAGTGGACCGCTGCGGTGCGAAGCGAGCCGCAAAGAGACGACGGACCTTTCGCGGATGCAACGAGATGAGGGGAGAGAGGACGATGGGGATCTCGAGTGAAGCAAAAGAACAGCACGCACGACTGGTGGTGTGACTGCGGACGGACGTTCCTGTCGGGCAACGCCCACCGAACCGAGATGCGGCAAGTGCGAAATGCCGCGAACCACGCAGAGCTTGACGTGCCCTCGAAAGCTCGGCAAACGCGAAATGGGTGGCGAACCGCAATCGAACGAAAGGTCGAGCACTGCGTCAGAGCAGAACCCGAAGAGCACCAACTCGTGGTGAACGTCCTTGTAAGTGCCCGCTATGTGCGAACGGGTCTGGTGGGTTCACCAACAAGTTGCCTCTGAATAATCGAAGCGCTTGCACACGGGCTCGTCAAATTTTTTTCGCAAAACGAAAGTGCGACGTCGAGCCGGTGAACATTATCGCGTTATATGTTGTCTGCATCCAGTAAATATAGCCAACATTGGAAGGAAAGTTAATGCACCAAGACATGCGTATACTGGTGTCGCTCTCTCAACAAGCTATTGCGTTATATTCAAGTGCGACTTTCGCAATGATTACAATGACGAAATGTTATCAGTTCTCACCTTCGTGGTTTTGGAAAAGCACGATTTGATGGAATTTCTGGAATATAAAGCGCAATGAAAAACACTGAAGAGTAGTTTGATACTTATTTAGAAAAAGGTAAACACGTCTGTGTGCTCGTTTTATTTTTGGTTCGTTCTTATTGTCGTTTGAAAGTGTGTGCTCTTCAAGGGAAGTGAAATTTGTTCAAAAGCTTTTTCACATAGAAGTTAACTGCCACCGCCGGCTTACCCTCTATACTTTCGCTTCAGGAACATGCTTCGTCGCGCCGAAGTTTGGTTTATCGACTCGCAGTAGTTACCGGTGACCGCATGTCCGAGACAAGTTATACCACCGCACTAGTATCAGTGCACCATCGAGTGCAGCTTTTATATACACGCCTACAAAAGCTACATGCCTCATTCCTGTGCCAGTAATTGCCGAGATGTATGTGCTGGACCAGGGCATTCACAGTGCGACGTGTGTTTGTCGTCATGTAATACACCATTTCGACACCACTTAGATGCTACATAAAAGTGCGCTTTGGGTTCGCGTGTACACATTAGCAAGAAAGCTACGAGATGTCACGTGCCACACGTGGCGAGGTTATACCAGCGCGTTGGTGTGAGCAGCTTCTCTAAACGACCTCTCGAAGAGTCACGGGTGGCCTAACAAAAAGAGCCCATCAAGGAGAATTCTTACCACGAACTTCGTTAACCGGCCCACACTTGGCACCTTTGGCCCCTCATAAATTTAACGACACGCTTCTTTAGAACGTGGCACCAAGCTTACCCATATAGTCTACCCAGGTTCTTGTAGCTTCAACCTCAGCTAGCCCAGAAGCGCGAACGACGAGAATAATCACTGGGCGCGCTTTGAGGAATCACCGAATTAAGGCGAACGCCAGCGCAGCCACGGCACGACTCATTTTTTGTACGCTGCAGAGTAAACCCCCCCCCCCCCCCCCCCGGGGGAGTCACGTACGTATATCTTAGTCGGTGGCTGTAACAGCGCAGCACACGCGAAAGTTTTATAGCTCCGTCACAAAATCAAAGCCCATGCGTCGTGTGTGAAAGTGAAGATACGACCTCGCGCGGAGCGGGAGAATTCTGACGTCCTTTGCCGCTGCCCTTCGTCCATCACTCGTCGACACTGAAAGAATTACTGAAATCAAAATGGCCGCGAATTACACGCAGAGTGTCAGCTGCCACGGGGGCGGCTTTGCCAAAGCGCGCGCTGAGGCGCATGCCCTTCCGTCTTCGTTCAAGGGGCGGATTGCTCGTCACTCCATCCACGCGGTTCGCGCAGCTCCTGCTGTTTCTGTTGCGCGCGACAGAACGCACTTTAATTCCTCCGGTACGCACATGCACCTACGCGCTGACAACCCTTTCCGGTGTGAGGCGGGCACGATCGCCAATCTCGCTCGCCGCCGACTTGTCAAGGAGGCTGAAGGGAAAAGGCTAATCCCGATCGCTGAGCTGTTAGCACGAAGATGTACTCCGAGCAGAAGGTTACGTCATCATTTAGCAGTGAAAAAATCATGTTTCGACTCCTCGAACACGCGGATGGCTAGCTGATGCGAGAGACTGCCGGTCGAGTGAAAGCGCCTTTTGTCTGTCTACGCGTGCGTGTGTCAAGTATGATGGCCTCCGAGATAGCTGTTCGAACCATGCTGTAGTGCTGCGGGCCTCCGTTTCGTGGTATTCGCGTCGCTTCTTCGGCTTTTTGCTGTTACTTGCTTCAGTGACATTCAATGCGCTGAATTCTATGCATATCGCGGTTAAGGAGAGCGTGCACGTTTACTTCTCGTTATTTACTTCACCTCGTTTGGCAGAGGTGGGGTGAAATTATTGCTGGTATCTCCGCGATGGCGGGGAGTAAACGGCTTTCCCGTCCAGCCGTTAAAAAATAAGAAAGATTACCCACCACATTTCGCCCACCAAGAGTAAACAAAACAACGCACAAGTTCTCCGCCTTTCTATCCCTCCCTCCCATAAAAAAAACAAGTTTGCTAGGGATGATCAGTCAGTTGAAGACACACGTGTGCACACATTTGGGTCTGGTATACATGTCAGGTTCCAAGGACATCTACACAAATACAATTGGCAGTATTAAGATTTATAATGATCTATTAGCATAGTATACACTTGCAGAAAAGGTCTAGCCGTTCTCATGCATGCCTCTGTTATTAAAATCAACAGGTAAAGAGGGTGTGACGTTTCATGTCAGATCACCATGTGCTAAATTTCATTCTGGTTATTATATGACCATGCAGTGAGCATTTTTTTATAGTTCGCCCCCGAATCAGCGGCACACAAGAGCACAGCAATTGAAGCATCCGAACATTTCGCTCACCTGGCGTAGGCGGCGTTCAGCGGCGTTGTCTCGTCGTCTTCGTCGAACGAGTTGTCCTCGTCCGAGAGCAGGCCGTCCTTGGTGCCGGTCTTCATGGCGCCGCCTGGTCGGAGGTCGGCCCCCTGGCTGATCCCCCCTCCCTCAACGCGTTACACCGGGGTCCTGCGCCCCTTGGCTCGCGCCGATGTCACCGCATAGCGAGTGATTCCGCCTCCCTCTGAAACGGGAGAAAGGAGTTATTCATCACCACCACCACCACCACCACCATTATCATCATCATCATCATCATCATTGTACTCAGAAGCACTTCGAAAATGCCTTTACACGATATTAAAGTACATTAAAGAGCAAAGGAATCTTTTCGCGTATTAGTACAATTTCACAATCTCAAAAACACCACTACACGACGCTTGGTAAGCAAGAAAACGCGCGAAAAGAAAATACGGGTGTAGACGCCACTTGAGTATCCCGCACCAAACACTGTGACGTCATAAATTTTAAAGGTGTCCGCTGAGTGCAAAGTGGCTTCTAATTGATTAAAAAACAACTACATCGTCATATATGGGTATCATAGACAATAGCATATAATGTTTCAGAAAATGTTATGGAACCAATGTCGCGAAAAAACGACACATAGAAATTTCTGACGTCACGCGTGGAGATTTCGGCGCGAAATTTGAAAATTAAAACTCAGCTTTGATTTCTCCATTAATAATGAATTTATGACGGTGAAACTTATAGCATTAAGAGATCTCGGAATGCAGTTCGTTAATCTAAACCGGGTCAACAGAGTAATTGTTTCTCTTTAGCCTCCCTTCAAAGAAGAAGCTGCTAACGCCCCGTAAATTAAGCTATGCCATAATAACATCTCATTGATTGATTAATTGATTAATTGATTGATTGATCGATCGATTGATTATTTAATTAATTTATTGGCCGGTCGGTCGGTTGGTCGGTCGGTTGGTCGGTTGTAGAAACTTGCTGACAAAGAAACCACATTAATTCAACTGAAAATAATCCCTTGGTAACAGAAGAAGCATGAGAATAAATCAGTGTTGGCGGTAACGTGTTATAAGTAACGTCCACACCGGTAACTCGTTGGTTTTTTCTGTAAATTAGTAACGAACTTGTTACCCTTTATTTTTTCATCTTGTAGGTGCCCATTTCCCACAGCTCACCCCGATGAATTCTTTTGTCGCAGCGCCGTCTGCTTGCAGATCACAAAGAAAGCGGAAGTGGAATTTGTAGAAATCGAGGATAAAAATTCCTGAAACGCGCCAACTCTATCTGGGGAGTTCCGGGCCATGGTTACACAAAGCTTCGAAGAAAGCCGTGAAATCCACCATGAGAAAATGTAGAAACATGCTTTTTATTGAAGTTCATTGTTGCAGGCGAATCGCTGGCCCCTGCGCCTTTCATTGACCAGTAGACAGGCCAGGCCGCCCGAAAGAAAAGCGCATGGGCTGGTTTACTCCATATCATGGGCCGATTGTGACGCTTCGTACATGGGGAGCCAAAGAATGTAGAACGGATGCCTGCAAGTTCGATTGACAAAAAAGTACATTTGCACAGCACAGCGTGGTGAACGACCACCGCATCGAATTGGCCAAGTCCAGCATCGCATATAGACTTAGAGACCAATTTATAATAAGCTGCTTTTTGTGGCATCCTGGCCCATGCAGGAGATGGCTGGTAACTTGACAGGTCTACAGACGCACTGCCTTAACGGAGCCTGCCTTAACAGGATTCTGCATATCATGGACAATAGGCGCGAACCTATGGAAGGATGAAACCTTTATAAAAATTGCGAGTGAGGCGCGAAGGATGGAACTTTGTGAATAAAAAAAAAAGCTTATGACTTTTTTCTCTCTACCTTGGTTGGCTCGGTTTCTCGCTACCCTCTGTTTTAACGAAAGCTCATTAATACCACTGTCACACGAACATAATGGCCAACCACAGTTAGAGGCAAGTTATACGGCATATGTAACCACAGTTAGTCTCTTGACACCGTGGTTATCTATAAGCTTAGGCAGAAACTTTTTTTGAGGGGAGGAGGTGAGAGGGAACGCCTATTTGAGCTGAAGTGGGGGTGGGCGGGCAAACGGTCACTTGGTGCTATGTATGCATTGTAAAAAAAATCAGGAGGGACAGTGGGGGGGGGGGGGGAGGGGGGAGGACGAGTCCTCCCCCCTCCCCACAACAATCACACAACAAAGTTTGTTAAGTGTAGCCTATCAGTCGTGTATTGCTTGCCGCTAACGTGTGGAAAGGTATACATCGGCCAGACGGGTCGTTGTTTGAACACCCGACTTTTAGAACACAAGCGATCATTAGGAACTGACATTCATTCTCACATAAGGAGACACTGTTCCCAGTGTGGCTGCTCACCACTGTACAGTGACACAACCGTAGTCTTCCGTCATGGAAACCAACTAACCAGAGAAATTGTCGAAGCCTTTCACATTAAAAAAAAGAAAAGAAGGATGCATTAGTCAGTCATCGGTTTCGTTAAGTAACCGAGAAGCCAGCTACCTCGAAGGACTTAATTGAGATCAGTGTTTGCATGTGTCATACTCTCCTTTTTGTTTCAAAATTTTGTTTCAAACACGTGTGAATTCCCGCAAATTTTTTTGGTTTTTTTGATTTGATGTTACCAAGGGCTGTTTTAGGTATGTCATCTAAAAAGTGTCTAAGCTTAACTGCCGTGTACTATCGCTTGAGTCGGCGCAAAAGCTTCTGTTGGCAATGATTCAGTGTTCGTAGTTCTTTTCTGTGTCGCTAGGGTTATGGGTTATATATGAAGTGCTGCTTCTGAAATAAAAATTAGTTGCGAGTGTAGCGAGTGTCGTGTTTTCTTGTCCTCTTCGTCCCCGTGAATTTGCGCTACTACACCATATGGTTAAATGAGGACGAGTCCTGTGTGTCACTCCTGGCTACGCCACTGTCGCGAACGGGTCATTCCACGAGAGAGCATCAAAAATTTGAAAAATGATATTTTAGATTTGATTGTGTATTTCATATTTTATGCAAATAGCACGTGCAGCTGCCCGAAAACGAAGTCATTTTTTTTACCTGCATAATTTACGAGGAAAAAATGTGGAACATACTGAACACGAATGGACTAAATTTGTGACCAGTGGTTCCAGAAAGTTCACAATTATGTCAGAAACAAATATTACCATCACAAAGAAGGCATGTTGCGTATATATGCACAACAAAGAGTGAACGAACATTGTTTGAAGCTTACTTTGTAAGGCGAAGAAAATTATTTTCTAAAAACGCCCAAGTACGGGAGATTTCAATTAATTACTACAGAATGATTTTTACAAAGTTCATAAGACATATCAACTTTGTTTCTAAAACACGTTTTGCTTCTTTCTCTCCGCAACGGCCATTGCGTTTATGGCGATAAAACTCCTGAGCCAGCTAGGTTCAAATGTTTGTGTTAATTATACGGGCGAAAGTGAAAGAAAATTGTTCATGCACAATTTTTTTTTTTTTTTGCCGTGCTTAGGCCATAAAATATTAGGGGACCCTAAAGCTTCGCCTGTAGAAGTTGAACGTGAGAGCGACACCCTGTTCTTAATGCGTATTTCAAACACTTACCCCCGTATTCTAGAACGTCCCTTCACTCAACGCAGCACCTTCACTTGAGAAAGCCGACGGAAGCGCCCTCCCTTGGCATGGCAAGTCACTGCATATTAGCGATAATGTGGTGCGATTCTCGAGCAGCGCAGCGTTATTTGCAGCCGAGAAGTGGCGCAGTGTTCAACTCTGTCAAGTGAAGGGTGAAAGTCGAGCCGAGGAGCGTTTGTGAATACGGGGGATAGTGCATGAACAACGAAGTGAAAAAAACAGCGTCTAACTCAGGACAGTGACAGAGACGGACGTCTCTGTCCGCTGGGGTAGCTCAGTTGGGGATCGGACGTGTTATTCGAGGGTCGCGGGCTCGGTTCCTGCCCACGGCAAGTTATCTTTTCGTCCACTTTTTTTGTCTTCAAGTTAACATTACAATTACTTCTAATAACAACCCCTATACTTTCCTTCGCATGATTGCCTGTTAGATATCATAATTTTCTGTTTGCTGAAGCAGTTTATTGCCATTTACCGACTGTTTGGACTCTTTCTATACGAAGAAATGCGGTGAGAGCACAAGAAACTCTGTGCAGTCATAGTGAGCATAACTACTTCATTAATTAGCAGGATCTGTTTAACGAAGCCTGATGAGGCCTGGGCACATCCTTAGCGCGGACAGGATGTGGGTGTTTTCGAAGGGCTTTGTTTACGTGCGAGTTCCGCCCCGCCGCGGTGGTCTAGTGGCTAAGGTACTCGGCTGCTGACCCGCAGGGCGCGGGTTCGAATCCCGGCTGCGGCGGCTGCATTTCCGATGGAGGCGGAAATGTTGTAGGCCCGTGTGCTCAGATTTGGGTGCACGTTAAAGAACCCCAGGTGGTCTATATTTCCGGAGCCCTCCACTACGGCGTCTCTCATAATCATATAGTGGTTTTGGGACGTTAAACCCCACATATCAATCAATCAACGTGCGAGTTCCTCTCGCGCTGATCTACGAAAAAGGAAACGATTGTCCTGATTTTTTCATTCACACCCGAAGCGTTTCCTCCTACATTTTAGACATTCTCTTCGAAGGGTACAAAAATGAAGCGAACAGAGAAAGCGCCGCATCTTCATCCGAGGTTGAAGCACACATTCCTCGCAACAGCCATTAGACGTAGACGAGTTAGCTTTCGAGTCAGACAAAAGAAACAGTTTGAGAACGGAAAATTAAAACAAGAGAAAAGAAAGGCACGCACGCATGCCTTTATGCAGACGGCGAGAGGTCTTTCGTGCCTGCAGTAGCCGAGGAATACGCGATCAGCTTAGCCCTACGCATGGGAAAAGAGCGGAAGAAGAGAGAGGGAAATCTTGCCGAGCGGCCCAGGCGCAGCCGGAGTACACGACTGCGTGAAGACCTTGCACGCAGCGCTTACGAATTTCGCTGTTGCGCATTCGGACGAAGGTTCGTGCTACCGCGTAGTCTTTGCAGGGGCGTCCTGCTAAACAGGGTGGCTGCCAGCCCTCTTCGCATTAACGTTCAGCCATGCGCTCCGTCTACCACGGCGCCCCGCCGCGGTGGTCTAGTGGCTAAGGTACTCGGCTGCTGACCCGCAGGTCGCGGGTTCGAATCCCGGCTGCGGCGGCTGCATTTCCGATGGAGGC